TCCCCTACAATCAGTTAAAGGTAAGGAATCCCCATTTTCCCTTTTTTTTTGAGAGAGAAGCACAGAGCCATAGATCTGCATATCAAAGCTCCACTCCAAATCATTCATCTAATAATCTCATCCGTAAAAACAGGGGCATGCAGGGAAAGGAGATCAGATCACTCCCACCCAGCAACCCTCATGTAAATACAATACAACACAGAGAAAACAAGAGAAGAAAAGGAGAGAGGGAGAAAGATCCAAAGAGAGGCAGACAACAACGATCAGAGCTTCAATCATCAGAGACGCAGAGCCACGCTCTCAAGCTCCTCGTCCTCTTCGTCACGAGGAGGGAGGTTGAGGTCGATGAACAACAAGGGTCTCCTTGTGTCATCGACCACTGACGACGACGAATCGCAGTCGCTGTGCGATGGGTCTTGATGAGCCTGAGAAACCGCAGGGGCCTTCGACGACTGCAGCCGTGGGGGACGTGGCCTACTAAATGACTCCACTGTCGAGCTCAGAGTTGTACTCGTGCTTACAGCAGGGGCGGCATTAGAGGGGGGGAGGAGAGAGGGAAGGGGAGCATCTGTGGTGGCGATGTTCGGGAGAGATGAAGGATGATGATGCAAAGGGAAATTGGTTTTGGCTTTCGGACCGCGGAGGGAGCGGGCGGCAGCGTCGTAGGCCCTGGCAGCAGCCTCAGCTGTGTCAAAGGTGCCAAGCCATACGCGGCTCTTTTTCCACGGGTCGCGGATCTCAGCAGCAAAGCGACCCCATGGCCGCTTGCGGACACCACGGAAGCGTATTCCGACTTCCTTAGGGGTGCCACCGGCAGCGGCAGCAGCAGATGATGGCCAGGGCATCGCGGCAGACGGGTCGGCAGTGGCAGCGCCCCGAGCCCCGGCCTTGCGCATCGTGTTCTTAGTGCTCCGGGGAGCGAGACCAATCGGTGGCAGGGGGGAACAGATCTGATGATCCGATGGGGAAGAGAAGGAGACGGATTGAGAGAGAGCACCAAATGGAAGGTCTTTTCTTCCTCTAAAGAGAAATGGAGAGAGAGGGGTCTTCTTTTTCCTCTATCCAGTTGAGAGAGAGATGATAGATTGGTTTTTTCTTCCTCACCCAGAGAGGGAAAGAGAGATTGCTTTGTTTCTTCCTCCACTACAGAGATAGAGATTATAGAGAGAGAGAGAGAGAGAGAGAGAGAGAGAGAGAGAGAGAGAGAGAGTAGT